AGCAACAACTGTAAAGACAACGGGTATAATTGTCACCCAATTATCAGGCCCGCATCCGACGCTGAAAAGGTGATTGTGGCAATTAGTGAGTCGAACGCGAAGTGTCAAGCCAGTACCGCATCAATTAAGACCCATGCGGTGGCTAAAGAAGTGAACAATTATCACACACGTGGATGACCACTATAAACTATGAATGCCGTGTAGCCTGTGCATGTCTCCACCCCATCTGCGCATGACCAAGACAACATTATCATCACCTATGATTAAGGATTCCCGAGGGAATGCGAAACGTCAGGCAAATTAAACTCTTGTTCCATTGATCGCATCTTCTTCTTGAGAACTGTTTCCTGGAAGTCGCATATTCTCTACTATTGGCAAGTTCATAACCGTTGGGATACGTTCTATCATCTGTTATCCGGCTGGACTACTTCGTATCCCACAGATGACCAGTGAACCTGCAAAAACTGTGCTAGAAAACAATTTAACATATATCACAAGTCGCTATTCGACTGCCTGCGAGGGCATGGCGGAACATACTTACTCCTTTTCCAAATCAGTTATCACCGATCTGTCATTATTTTCTCAAGTACAACCGACAAAGCAACGAGCCTGTGGTGCAATAGTAGGGTGTTGGGCTTCATGACCAAAATGCCGGATTCGAATCTCGGATGATTCACGTCTGAGATTGGGCATGACTGGCTAATAGTGGCTAATAAGCCAGAAATGGCCATCCCGGTCTCCTTGGTCTTTGTTAGTTCTACTTCAACATATTCTACAAGTCGCTATATGACTGCCTATAAGGGCTCTAAAGTGAGCTCCAAGGCACAACGGAACAGGCTTTTTCCTTTCCCAGCTCGGTTGACATCCTTCTATCATATCCGATTGCCAGCCTTTTAAACATTGTTTTGGCTCTAATTTGATATCTTACTGTTTCGCATCTTTCCAAGACAAGTCAGGTGAATGTGTGTTATGTTAACTGTCTACAACTTCATGTTTACTGTTACAACGATTGGATTACTTTACAGTAAAAGAGTCCCCAAGCACATTCCTCACCCGTAACCCCTCCAATATACATATAATTAGAAGGAGATTACCGAAAAAGACAAGGGAGACAAGGACGGCCATTTCTGGCTTATTAACCGTTCTCAGCCAGTCATACCCAGACCCAAGTGGTATTACGACCGATCCTCGAACTGGCGACTTCTCTGATCAGAGTTGAACGCCCTAACCATTGAGCTACGAGCTCATTGTCTTGTTGGTATTTGATCAGGGATATACAGTGGCAGATACGCGTACACCGATCTGTTAGGGGACACTTTCGTCCGTTCATGGTGCCCTTGGTGTTCACACTCGAGCCTAAACCGCAAGGCGGCAAATAATATAGGCAGAAAGTCATCACCATCACATATATACCTCTGCAGCACGTAATTACGTTTTTAAATAGCACTGAGTTCCAACGCGAACCAACCAATCGTCCTAGTGTGTCCAAGATGTTAAACATGTTTTGAACAGTGTTCGGTTCTTCGTGATAGACCATTTTACAATCTTCTCTGTACCTTAGTATGTACGCTCTCTGCTGGCTCCACTAGGGCCAGAAATACATAGTGTAATATTTTTTTGTTTCTAAAAGTGAATTCCTGCAGTTGAATATACCCTTCAAAGTCTAGCTAAGGGTGTTCGGTTTCTGACTTTGACCTAAAACATTATATTTTGGTAATGCGTACAGTTTTCGAAATTTAGAAACCAAGCAGACATTTAGGCTGCGTCATCCAGTTTTAAGCGAATGCACACATTTATCAGCTTTTACTTATTGGTAAGTTGCAAGCCGTAAGACGGTTGTTAGGCTGACTGAGCACTTCATCCAGACAGACAGGCATCCCGAGGTCACGCCAGAACAGGGCGCGCGAACAGGCCAGTCCGGCGCATACAGAATGGGCCAAGTCACGCGACCCTCAAGGGGCGGACATTAGGCTAGGACAACGGAGGCACACGTGAGCGAGACTGCCTTGGGACCGTGTTGCTGTTATCAGTGAGGTCACGCTGAGAACAGA